TTGAGTCCTAGATCTTTTTGTCGTACAATGGTGCTTGTAACGACCGTAACTTAATGTCTATAGCAAAAACAAAATGTGAGGCATCTTGGTGAAATCAGGCGCTCGTCAAAATAATGAAATCGAAGAAACTGGCATTTTTCTGTCTGTTTGGACATTTTTATAGAATTTTCATTTTTGGCTGGCGTTTTCTCACCAATTTTACCGGGAAAAAACAGACGACCCCACTTTCTTCAATCGCAAATACCTCGACTTCTATTAAAGATAGACGTGTACTTTTTTTTATCGGAAGATAGACAAATGAACCAGATTAAAGATGACACCGGAGACCTAGCAATGTGAACCAGACAGTACAGCTTGCGACCTGTCCGTGACAACCAGTGCTACATGCAGCGTCAGCGAAGAGAGCTGTTTTATTTATAGCCTGGGGCGGTAAACCTACTCGCGTTTGGCCTGTTATTGTTCTGTGGGTGAACGAAACCAAGTTGTTAGTGTACTCTGAGATTCCAAATAGAAGGGAGGGGGGTCACATTTACCAGATATTAATAAAAGGGAGAAAGGCCTTCCGTAACGAGCGACCACCCCAACAACATAATAAAGAAGAGACCTAGATCCAACCCTTACCCTAACCCAAACCCTACGCCTAGGCCCTACCCCTAGCCCTCTATTTTACTCTGTCTCATAGTGGTCGCTTTTTACGGGAGGGGGGGGGGCACATTTGCCGAGAATAGATGCAGTTCACATACATTTTGGGGGGTTGCGAAAGAATACTAGTACTTATTTTTTACACATGCTTATTGCGAGGAATATTATAAAATAAATCAATTACAAACAGAGAGATATAATTTTAACAATTTTTGTTGCAAGTTTTTATAGAGATCCAAGAGAAGGCCTGGTTATAGGCCACTTGCTGCGTACCTGAGCGAGGAAAATAAGAGAAAAGTGGAAAAATGAGAATAAAAAGGAATAAATAGATAAATAAAGAGAGAGATAGAGAGAGAGAGAGAGAGAGAGAGAGAGAGAGAGAGAGAGAGAGATAGGGAGAGAGAGAGAGAGAGAGAGAGAGAGAGAGAGAGAGAGAGAGAGAGAGAGAGAGAGAGAGAGAGAGAGGGGGGGGGGGGAGAGAGAACAATAATAACCATATCAAACACAAGTGGATCTAGCTAGCTTCATAAATTATTTAACAACAATGAAGGAGAAGAGGAAAGAGAGCGTGAGAGAGAAAAATAGAGAGAGAAAGAAAGAGCCTATGCAACTCACCAAATCTATTTCCTGATGCAAGTGTACTTCCAAATCCAATGTGCTTTGTTTGACAAATGTTGAAATATTCCTGCCTTCCTCTGCTTGTTTTGGTGAACTTGTGCAAATCTCTTCACTTTGTAATGAAGTCTGCCATTTGTGTTCAAGCAGTAGTGCCAAAGAGTTTCTAGATAGGCATCCTCGCATCTGGAGATATGTTTCTTTGGTTTAGATCTATCTAGATTAATTCAGTGCTTATCTCCCTCCTAGTCAAGATCTAGATCTATATATGATCTAGATAATTTATATAGAGCTACTTAAAGGAAAACGATACAAAGCTGATTTAGGTTGTCTGTTTTTTGTCACGGGATTGGTCAGATTAGCAGTCTGGCCCAAGCTGTACTGTCTCGTTAACATTGCTTGATCCAAAAATTGACGAGCGCCTGATTCCACCGCGTCGTAACACAATGTGTCGAACAGATTGTCGCCGTGTGACTAAAGGGAAGTAATCACGGTAATACGGTAAGTCTTCAAGTAACGAGTTTGTTCCTTCCCTTGGATAGGGTTAGGGGTAGGGTTGGGTTAGGTTAGGGTTAGGGTTAGGGGTACGGTAAGTCTTCAAGTGACAAGATTGTTACTTCCCTTGGATAGGGTTAGGGTTAGGGGTACGGTTGGGTTAGGGTTAGGGGTATGGTAAGTCTTCAAGTGACAAGATTGTTACTTCCCTTGGTTAGGGTTAGGATTTAGGGGTTAGGGGTTAAGGTTTTGGATTAGTTATTAAGTTTTTGTATTATGGGTTAGTGTGTGGGGTTTAGGGGTTAGGGTTTAGTGTTTTGGATTAGTTACTAAGTGTTTTTGAATATGTGTTAGGGTTTAGGGGTTAGGGGCTAGGGTTTAGGGGTTACGGGCTAGGGGTTAGGGTTTTGGATTAGTTGTTAAGTTTTTGTATTATGGGTTAGTGTTTGGAGTTTAGGGGTTAAGGGTTAGTGTTTTGGATTACTCTGAGGATGTAGAGGGCTGCTTCTCAGGTGCGTTAAACCATAGTACTGTGAGAACTTTTGAAACTCGCGTGCAACGAACTGGAATCCATTGTCT